TTGCATTTCAGCAAGCCACTCAAGCTTGGCTGTCATTTGCATGGGGCTAATTGTGTTAGATACATGACAAAAGCCCTCTGTTCTGCAGCGTGGCGTGCTTGACTCATCCCACAACTCTCCGCGGAGACTCCCAGCAACGCTCAAGAACTTGTCTCCATCATTCACACGCACATACATGGGCTCCACTAACACACACACAAAATCTGTTCTGAACATGGTGCTGCTCAAGTGTTCAGGTGTTTAAGTGAGGATTTTGCATGTCTATCATTGCTAGGTCATCATTAGCAGTTCAACAGCTACTGTAGTAATACTAACTGCATACTGATAGCCTTCTGTACAGGTCTGAGATCCAGTTTTGCACGATTTCTGGCAAATCTGCACAGTAAGGCCCGAACAGGCTGTCGTTTTTCTTCATATAAAAACATGTAGCATGTGTTACTGGTGTAGGAAGAGGAAGAGAAGTGTTCACAGAGGAAAAGAAAAGTGTCAGGGGGTCTGTGCACCACCACACAGCAGTGTCAGCAAAAAAGAAGATAAACACTCTGCACTCTAATCCCTCCTTTGCATTAACCCCTTAATCTTAATGGATGTCCATGTCCTCAGGCTGATTATTTAGTAACTACTTGGGAAACTGTGCAATTCTGTTCTATTTTAAATATTGTTATTACCAAGAGTTAACAAATATTGTGTGTGTGTGTACATGTGTGAATATAGAGAGATTTGTATTTCTTATGTTAGTTTTAGGTTATTTTTATTATTTATGTGTTTCCCCTCATGTTTAAATCACATCAGTAATCATTTATTGAAAGCCACATACATACGGGCTTTATGGCACATGCATACACAGAAAAATATTTAAAAAGCAATAATTGAGTATTGCCCTGCGATGGACTGGCGACCTGTCCAGGGTGTATCCTGCCTTCCGCCCAATGACAGCTGGGATAGGCTCCAGCACCCCACCGTGACCCAGGAGGATAAGCGGTTTAGATGATGTATGTATGTATAATTGAGTATTTACGAGCAGATTATGTCAGTATTCGCAAGATGACATCAGATGTTTATGAAGTAAATGATGTTGTACTGACTCCCTTAAACTAAAGTGATGGGCATTTTTAACATGTATAATACTGTTATAAAACATCATTCCCAAGGAATTGAACCTATAAGGTAGAGGCCTAGTTAAGAGCACCATATATGAGTTCTTTGCCCTCAGACTTGCCATAATTTAATACATCTTTTTCTGTCAATTTCCCCGTATCACTTTACTTGAGGGCATCTTTCATAGAACACATACAGTATATAATGATCTTAACCAAGCCTCTTCCTTATAAGCTCATTATACAGACTTCTAAATGAAACAAATGTATATCGGACAAAGCAACTTGCGTCAATCTAGTGTCATTTAGTTCATAAACATCTGATATTGTCCTGCAAATGCTGACATCACCCATTCATAAATACTCACATACTGCTTTATAAATGTTATTCAGTGCTTAAGCATGTGTCATAATGTCCCTAGGTGGGTAGCCTTCAAATAAAGTGTAACCATTTTTTCTTCTGTATGTGAACTAGACAAGCCTGCGAACACTACTTCACTGTTTCATTAAAGTGCGCTTGTTTCACTGAGAGAAATTTTCCAATAAATGTCAAACGACAAGAGTCAGCCACTATAACTCATCCCACTTATCCTACTTGGCTAAGACGTGTAATATTTCATAAAACCGCCCAGACTGCCATCATGTTGAGGATGGTAAACGGAACAGAGAATGCGGAATGAAGTTTTGAATGGCAACTACCCGTGTATCTCTGGCTTAGCCATCACAGAACTGCTCTCTCTGTTGCTTAATTAAGACGAGTGCTGGCGCACGCATGCAAGGAGATGTCAGAAAATAAACTTTTCTTCTATAAAAAACCACCTCATATGGAGTGTGTAGGCCTATATGAAGACACTATGAGTCAAACACAGAAACGCACTTGCATGAGCATCGTCCTCCTCACCCACACACCCAATGTTCTAACTTGTACATGCAATGCTGTACCACACACTGGGCCATTTTATACATGAAAAATGACTCTGCAAAATGGATCTTTGTTCCTCTTTTTGTAAATGTTGGCTGTGTGTGCATGCACGTATGTATCTGTTTGTCTCATTGTCTGTTTTTGTGCTTGCAGATGACTGATAAGGCTAACTAATTGAGCTAATTATTTCCAGTCAAAACAGGCATTAAGTATAAGATACAAATTTTTCATGAGAGATTGGATAGAAGATAATCCACTTGAATACGGAAGAGGAAAGTCAAAGAAATATAAGTGAAAGAACTGTAGTTTCCAGAATTGGATTATCCTGGTAGACCACCAACACTGCCACCATCAGATAAACAGTACTTAACGCTTTCATCTTTGAGAGAGAGGAGAAAATCAAGCTCCACTCTTGCTTCAGATCTGAAAAAATCCCCTGGTGTTTATGTCCATCCTTCCACTGTGAGAAGACAACAGTCTGAAAGCATGTGTAGCTGACCAGAAGCCCTTTCTGAGAAAAGGAAATAGTCAAGAAAGAACATCTGCAATTCGAACAAAGAAGCTGCTGATGTTCTCAGTTCTCTGACCACCCCAGAGTCCAGTCCTCAGCTATGCTGAGTGTGTTTGGCATTTGCAACCAACTTCTGAGACTGAACTTCTGAGGTGTGGAAAAATAATCAGATTTCTTGAAAAACTAAAAGCAAGTGTCTCTCAAAAAGAATGGAAGCTGTAATAAAGGCAAGGAGTGGACACATAAACTGAAAAGGAGGCTGTGCAATTTTCAGTGTAATTCAGTGACACTGAAAAATGAATAACTTGTACTTAATGGCCGTTTTGAGTGGAAATGAATTAAAATAAAGTGGAGGGGGGTCTCTGACTTTTGCACAGTGCTGTGTATATATACACTCAGTGATGTTTGTGCTCACTGGGCAACATGTGCTCTTAGCTGATGCCATGCAAATGCTGTGTAATAGCTGTGCCCAAACTAGGACCTGTTTCATTCAGGTCTGTTTCATTTTTACTCCCCCAACTGAAACTGAAACACTGGGCTGTGCTGGAACAGTGGCTGGAGTGAAACTCAGCCTGTTTTCTGTGTGTTTGTACAGCAGGCAGTGGAACACTCGCAGTAGTACTGTAAGTGTGTTAGAGAGGCCTCCTACGCCTTACTGTCTCCTTTACTTGCTGACAGGAGATGACTGCAGCTTTCATTCATTCACTGCATTTGTGCTGGCTCTGTCATTTGTGCTGAAGTGGAGAGAACACCAGACAAGGTAACACAGTGAATTTACTTGACTCAGATGTGTCCATCATTTCCATGTGAATAAAATAAATGACATCTACACAGTTTTGTTTTCGTGCTCCTGGCAATGATTATGTTGATGTTATGTGCTGAATTCATGTGGAAATTATGTGTACATGTGTATCATGTAAATTCAGTGTAGTGTTTTTAACCCTATCAGTCCAAATGCTGATGATACGTTCTGAGAATTTAGGCGAAAGCCTCTTTAAGTCTGCTGCAAGATAAGTTACAGCACATGTACGTGCACACGGGCCACTGTGAAATGTATTAGCATGTAGAATTGGCGCTTTCTCTGTGGCACAGTGTTTTCTGTCACTGTATATGAGATGCACAAGAGTTCCTTTACTGATGCACTGTGAGGTGAGCGTGCAAACTCATTCAGAGCTCAATTCGGATCAGTAAGCTGTTATTATTGATTTGTTTAATCAGAATAGCAATGAAACACTGATAAAATGTGACTTGCATTTTCTTGTTCAAGAAGATTGTTTGTGACAAATTAAATAAAAAAGTAATTAATTTTTGGTTTTGTTAGATCAAATCAAAGTTAGGTCAAATCACAAGTTTTGTTGATTTTGTTGGCAGCAAAAATAAGTGCACATCCTCTATAGAGAACATACTTCAGCACAATTTGTTTTTTTTTGTTTGTTTGTTTGTTTTTATTTAACATATTGGAAAAAATAGAACATAAAATATGACCTGTGTAAAAGTAAAGGCACATTTTATATTTTAGTTTTTTTCCCCAATATGTTTCCAATGTGTTTCATTTTTGTTCCATGTAGAGGACGTGTTCACTGTGCTAACTTATTTTCATTCAGAAAATCAGTAGAACATGTAATATGAACAGGAGTGTTCAAACCTTTAAACTCTTGCATATGACTGTAATCATGTGAAAGGCCACACCAGCTTAAGACTGAATAAAAAACTTCCTAACACTTTCCTCATGACACCACCTGTTAAATTAGCTTGGAGCAACAATGACAGCCTCATCAGATCAGTGAACAAATAAAAAAAATGAATGGCTTAACTATTTTTAAATTCCACTTTAAGGAAATAATGAGGTAATAAAAGTAGGAAGAAATACTAAAGTAGTTTACAGAGTAAATACAGGCCAAAGTCACTTAAAGGTGGGAGATGAACTGTAAGAAATCTGAATGTGAAATTTAAACATTAAAAAGCTTAATTTAATTATGCCACACTTTTCTGTTCAATCAAGTCAGCAAATATGGCCTGTATTACTTCAGCACAAAAAGCATTTGCAATTAATGTCAATATATTTTTGGTTTACAAGTCAAACAGCAGCACTCATTTTTTTGTGTAATCAGGTCCCATCAGGTTAAAAGCTCTGTTGGAGAACTATTCTGCTCCACTTCGTGCTGGCATGTCACTCACTGGCACAGGAGAGAGTGTTGATGGAATTTTCTATGATTTGGCAGATTTTGGAGTGAAGAGCTCCTCGGTTTTGATCTTGTATGTGTATATATATATTTGGCCTGGCGTTTTTGGAAGAAGCAAGAAATGAGGATCTTCTCCATCTTTCTCCAAATCAGCTCACTTTAGCCCTCTGTCAGCCTCTCTGCTCTTAGCTAATCTTTCACATGGTGAGACCTGACTGGGCAAATGCGTGGATTTCCTGCTGTTATTTTTGGCACTGTGGTTTTCCTTAATGAAGCTGTCTCTGTAGCTATGTGGTGACAGAGCTGATGCAGAGTGACCTGCATAAAATCATCGTGTCTCCTCAGCCCCTCAGCTCCGACCATGTCAAAGTCTTTCTCTACCAGATCCTCAGAGGTAAGGCCCAAACATCACACACTCATTCTGAAAACAGCACGAGAGCATTCTGGCTGAATCTGACTTAACGAAGTTTTGATGCCAGACCCGATCTGTCTGAGCCCCACCCAAACCAACAACCACATTTTTTATTTAAAAATTATATTTACATATTTTTTTTTAGAACTCTTAAATGAAATCTCCTGCTAAGTTAGCTTGTAGTGATAATGACAGACATCATCGGATAATCGATTAACAAAGTGAATAATATAGTAGCCTGTTGATCAGTTTAACTTCCACTTTAATTAATGTACTCATCAATTAATACTTTCAAACAACATCCCAAAAGTTTGGGGTCTGCTTAGCCTCATGCATTTTTTTTTATGCTGGCCTCACGGAGGTTGGCGGATCTCACTACCAACAACACGAGTGACTCAAACATGCCAGAATAAGAATTATTAATGGTAATAAACTTATGTTATGTCAAAATAATTACCTAAATAATAATTACCTAACCTTTTGTAACACCTTATGATTACAGTAGAACATTATAACAGTCCTGTATTAAAGAAATGCTAGATTTATAAGATAATGCATGCAAATACATGTCATATTTTACTGCAGCCATTATTGCACCATTATTGTAAAGGTGCTCAGACCAGTAACGCACTCAAACACCTGTGTCATCCTTATCTAAAGTATGGGATCACAGTCTGATAGTGTGGTGGAAGCTTATGAAAGCAGATCTGCTTTGCATATCGTTGCTGTCAGAACAAAATCTTGTAGAAGGAAAAAACATGCTTAACGTATAATGGACATTCAAGTAAAAATATTTTCTCCAAGCCGTTTTGGACTATTTCTGTTTGGTCCGTTTATTGTAAAAATTTCACGATATAAAGGTGAGCTGGGGGTTACAGACTCCAAAAAAGTAAAAAAAAAACAAAAATGGAGATTTCTGCCATATCTCTACTGACACTGCAACTTATAAGACTGAATAGCAGTGACAGTATTTCAAAGTGCCGACAGTAATGGTACTTTGTGTGTTGAATATTGAGGTATGCCTTATTGTTGGATATCATATGTCATATGTCTAAGCCTAACAAATATTTGAGAAATGATAATGATGTCCAAACCCCATCAGGTCTGGCAGGAATAATTGGGTGCAGTCCAGTTAGGGCAGATATTTATAGCTCTAACTCACATACACACTCAACTGCCAACTAACCAGATCATCTGAGATAAGACACACACACACACACACTCACCTCCGACCGTCTCAAAGTCTTTCTCAGATTGTGTGAGGTGAGACTCAAGCACAGACACATGCCCTCTTCCCACCTCAGGTCCAACCATGTCAAAGTAAATCACGCACAAATATTGTACATGCCGGTTCATTCATACCTCCACACGTGTTACAAATACACAGATTTCGCCATATGGTCTGTGTTGTTTTTACTTTAATGTAAAAAAGAAATCCCAACGTTCAGTGCTTTTATTTGTTTATTTATCTTCAAAATCCAGTTGTCAAAACAAGATTTCAGTGTCTGCATAACTAACACAAACAAGCAATTTTAAAGTAGAAGACTAAGACGAATAAACTTTAGAGCACACAGAGTGTACATTTGAAATTACTGGGCATACAAGTGTTATTAATCTTTCACCTGACCTTCTTTGGTCAGTTGTTTCTATATATTTTTTCTGTTTGTTGTTTTATTAATGTATTTACCTTTTGCTTTTATTTTTAAACTACATTTTTTGATGTTCAAAAATGATGTAGAAAATAAAAATGGGGAAAAAATGAGTTTTTTTTTTTGGACGGTGACAATATTTAACATGTAAACATAAATTGTGATTTTGGCCTAATCGACTAGTTCTTCCCCCAGTGTGAACTGTTCATTACAAAGGTACTCTTTTATGCAGCGAAATGTATAATCACTAGCAAGAGTACTTCAGATAAACAGCTGGACCTCTCTGTCCTCCCTGATAAACCATGCCTTGATCACAGAAAGACAATCATTAATAGGTTATATCAGGATAGGCTCTGTCTCCGATCAGCCCATGACACAAGAACAGCTAAAAGGGAGTGATTTGTTGATTTCATTTTGTTGACTCTTCTCATTTTGTCCACAGGTTTGAAGTATCTGCACTCTGCTGGCATCCTGCACAGAGACATCAAACCTGGCAACCTTCTGGTCAACAGCAACTGTGTGCTCAAGGTTAGTTTAATGGCACTCGCAATTTCAACTCACTGGCCTGAGATCAGATGTTGTCCTTCCCTGTCAACATTCATAAACTCAAACTGCCCCCAAGCACAAACTTTACATTCTTCTCGATAGTTCTGCGGATATTGTTTACTGTGTGTAGGGCGTGTGTGTGAAGGAGGAGCACAGTTTGTGCCATTTGTTAACGGTTTATGTTGCCCTTGGGCCTCTGCTAGTGTCCCTTACCTTTTGCTCTCTCAAGGCTGAATGCTTAATAGTGGTCTGTATGGTGGTGTGCACAAGGTCCCGGTAACTCAGCTCTCGCCGGGGGGGGCAGAAACCTTCATAACTGTCAGGTCACGCCCATTCTACACTGCATACATACACATACAAGCACACATGCGCACACGTCTGTGGCTCTGTGGGGTCAGGGTTCCTTTGGGATTGATTCATGTGCTCATGTACTGACATCAATCCTCATTCTGAAGCCCAAAGTCAGCTCTGAAAATACAGCTGTGTCTGTGAGGCTTTTCTTTTTCTTTCTTTCTTTCTTTATCTCTTTTTTCCCCTTTCTTTATTTCTCTTCTCTCGCTTTCTCTTTCTCTCGCTCCCCCCTCTCTCTCCCTCTCTCTTTCCTTCTCTCTCTTTTCTCTCTCTCTGTCTTCTTTCTGTATATATCTCATTCTCTCTCTTTCCTCTGTATCTCTCCATCTTTCTTTTCGTTCTTTCTGTTTTTTCTTCTTTGTCGATTTCCCCCCTCTCTCTTTCCTTTGCCCCTCTTTTTTTGTCTCTCTCACTCTTTTCTGTCTTCCTCTCTCTTCTCTTCTCACTCTCACCCTTTCAGTGTCTCTGTCTTTCTTGTTTCTTCTCCTGCTTTATCTTGCTACCTCCTGTCTTTTTCTCATTTTCCCTTATTTCTCTCTCTCTCTCTCTCTCTCTCTCTCTCTCTCTCTCTCTCTCTCTCTCTCTCTCTCTCTGTGAATGTGTGCTGACTAGGTCAGGCAGCTAGAGAAATCTGCTAGAGGGGAGAGAGGGAATAGATCAAGCTCTTAGGCTCCAGACAGGGAATTATTTAGCATGTATTAGCTCATTTATCCTGTAAATCCCATTTCCGGAAAGAGAAAACATTTCCCCTTTTTTCAGCACTTACTCACTGTACCTCGGAGAAGTGTTCATGTTTGTGTCTGGGTGGCTCCTGTGGTTTTCAATGAGTCTTTCACCGTTTGTCTATGTACTTTTGGGTCTTTATTTACAGTACCAGTGTCAGCGTCTGTGTGCGTCTCGAATACGTGCTTTCAGTGGGCAGATTTTCATTTAGTGTGCTCATTCAGAAGCGCTTCGCTTTTCATCATTCTAGTTTGAGAGGTGATTAACGTCTTTCTCCCAAAATATCTCAATCCCTCACTCTCCGTCTCCCTCTCCCTCCCCGCCTCCCTCTCTCTCCCCTCCTCCCTCCTTCTCTCCCAGTCTATGGGGCCTGTTTCGTGTGATGGGCCTCGGAGCAGTTGGCTGCGATGGAAAGCTGCTCTTTGTGAATAATGGGGAGCCAAGCACTGCGCTACATTAAATTCCCCCATCACCCCCCTCTTCTTGCTCACTTCCTGTCATTCTGTCCACTAATTTATATTTAGCCAGTCAAGGAAAAGGACTGAGAAGAAAAAGATACTGCTTGTCAACTCAGTGAAGGGCTTTTATATGTGCTGTGTGTAGTGCCATATTGTCCAAATAGGTACTTAAATTTACATTAGCTTTATAAGCCCATGCATCTTGAGTACTGGCACTCTGTGCTAAAGGAATGTCTTACACTCAAATATGTCTTATAAATGACATAGCTTGTTTAGAGACCAGGCAGAAGCCACATTTCCAGAAGTGTACTATTTACACTGTGTAGCCAAACATATTTGGACACCTGACCATCACACTTGTAAGAGCTTGTTGGACATCCCATTCCAAAACCATGAGCATTAATATGGCGTTGGCCACCTTTTCTGCTGTATAAGCCTCTTCTGGGAAGACTTTCCACAAGAATTTGGAGTGGATCTGTGGGAATTTATCCCCATTCAGTCAGAAGAGCTTTTATGAGGTCAGGCGCTCGGCCATGTAAACCCATTTTCAAGAAGCTTCCAACACACAGTTGTTGCCTTAGTAAGTGATGCAACAGAGCACAGGTGATTTTTATGCCTATATGTGAGCGAAGAGAGAATCTGATGTGTAGTGTTGGTGTAGTTTATGATGAGTAAGCCTCAGTCAGAAATCATCATTAACAATGCATCATACACAGTTCTGTGCAAAAGTCAAAACACCCTTTTTATTTATTTCATTTTCAGTTAAAATTGCCATTAAGTACAAGTTATTTATTTTTTGCTGGAAACATGTTTTAGCAGAAAATGACTCAATTACTCTCTACTTATAATATCAAATCTTTCAGGATTTAGTTTGTGCACTCTTCACTTTTGTGCACCTACTGTTAGGTGCGTATAATAATGATACTAATACTACTACTACTACTACTACTAATAATAATAATAATAATATTTTTTATTTATATACCACTTTTAATGCCCGTGGCAACTCAAAGTGCTTTACAGGTGATAAAACATAGTTATACAAGAAATCATTAGTATTTATTTGAAAAAGATCAAATTAGAAGACAAATACCACAAGATGTAGAGTTTTAATTAAATGCTAAGTTAATGAGATACGTTTTTAGATGCTTCTTAAAAGTTGTCACTGAGCTTGACTACTTGTGGCTTGTATTTAAATGGTTTGTATTTGAAGTTTTAACTGGAAGTTAAATAGGTGAAGGGTGGCCTAACCCTAGACTTTTACACTGCATTCCTTTCTGATTATTCTGATCAGTCCTAATAAAAGTGTTGCTCACCTCATCTTGGCTATCTGTGGATTATATAGCACCTTGTATAATGATAATTTCTCACTTCAGATCTGCGACTTTGGCCTTGCTCGGGTGGAGGAGCCTGACGAGTCGCGTCACATGACCCAGGAGGTGGTTACGCAGTACTACCGTGCCCCCGAGATCCTGATGGGCAGCCGCCATTACTCCAACGCCATCGACATCTGGTCTGTGGGCTGCATCTTCGCCGAGCTGCTGGGCCGACGCATCCTTTTCCAGGCCCAGAGTCCCATCCAACAGGTAACCTATGTTTATTCATATAAAGGCTGTATAATGGATCATAAGCTTTACTGCTCAATTGCTGCTTAAATTTTCATATTTAAAGAAGTGATACATTACATTTACTTTATTTTATTTTGCTTGTGCATTATATGCAGGAAATCATATTAGTCTTTTAGTTTACTTTATGACAATTATTGTGTTGGTATATTTGATTCATGTGGAAATAATGTACATACTTGAAGTAAATTCAGTGCATCACTTTTTTGAGTGTGCTCAGGTCTGATCAATCCTGACTTGGACAGTGGCTCCTATCTTAGGCCCCGTTCACACTTGGCATTAACATGCATCTTAAGTGGTCCTATTATAAGTGGACAGTGTGTGCAGGTGTGATTGGGGTACATCTTGGAGACACATTGCGATCCTATGACTGTGACCACCTTCAGAAGCGGTCAGAGACGCATATGATCACATAACATTTGTAGTTTGTTGAAGGACCACCTTAATCAGACAAAAGCAGCTGCGTAGCTTCATTTTTCAGCTCCTCCACCATTAAGCCATTAAGTAACAAGAGTCTTATAAAGGACTTTATGAGACTTGTTTACATGAATGTTAGCAGGTCATGTGGTCTCAACAAGTCAAAGCTCTTTCATTTGCATGAACACGGGCTCACTGTACATTTTTGTCTGACAACAAACGCAGCAAGAGACTGATCTAGTAAGTGCAAACGTGGGTGCTACCCTTCCTCCAGTCACTGGATACACATTTGAGACACCTAGAAATGCCAGTAAACGGCTGTATGTCTCACTGTCCTCCTGTGATCAGATCACTTGCGATGTATGTTAATACCAAGTGTCAACAGGGTCTAGCAGTGGTGTGAACGCACCTTCACCGCACACTTTATCAAGTCAAAGCCTTTTTAACACACTGACCACAGTGATATGAGCTGTGAAGTGTGATGGCAGAAACACAAATTCCGATTCATCTGCTATTAATGATGTTACATGGCCATGCATCAAATATATATCCAGTCTAGGACCTCAGATGAAAGTGGTTCAACTCTGATTTGAAAAAATCAGACTCTTTCAAAAACAGGTCTGTATCACATTTATGGGGGAAAAAACAAAATAAAAAGTTAAAATTAGCATTATTTGACCCCTTCAGTGTGTACATGCCCAAAGTCTTAGGCTGCATTCACACTGTAGATGAAAGTGGCCCAAATGCAATATTTTTCTTCATATGTGACACAAATTTGTTTTTTTGTGTGGCAGTGTGAACAGTAAAAACAATGAATCTGAGTCTTTAGAGAGATTTCGATTTGGGCCACTTTCATATGTGACAGTGAAGTAAAGAAATTGATGTAAATCCAATATTCGACCTCTATCTGAACAGTCAGATCAGAGTGCTACTTTTACATCAGTCCTATTCAGTCTTCATCATAACTTTTGCGCATGCAGGAACGGACCCTTAATGGCAACATCATCAAAATGCCTGTTTATATGGTTATGCTTCACGTCTTTTATTCTGGATAATGAGCAAGACAAACACAGGCTGTGTAAAAAAGTAAACACGGAACTTACTAATGAGAAAAATCAAACAGCAAAAAATGCGCCTCGCACAGATCAAATCTTTTTATCCAGTATATATCGCTGTTTTGGCTCTGAGGTTGTGGCCTAACATTCCTCTTGACTGTAGGTAAATGAAATAAACTAAGCTTCTTTTCTCTGTTTTATTAGAAATTCACCATTTTTAGTGTTTTCTGTAAACGTTGTCCAGCATGATTGTTTTAGTTTTGGCTGTTTGTCTTTCAAGTTTAAAGGAGCAGTTTGCACTTGTTTAAGTTCAATATCATGTGAAAGGAATCTTTTTAACCTTAAGGAAGGACAGAGGACAGCTAGGGCAGATTTGGGCAGTAAATCAGATGTGGGCCACTTGACCTCAACTTTAAAGTCAGCTTGAAATCAGAATTGACCTTATTTACCTTGTTAGTTTATGTGCCTGGTCATATCAAGCACGGTTCATCATATAATATAACCCAGTAATCTTTAATCAAAATTCAGTTACTTTTTCTTTCACTTCTAAAGCGTCTTTTGATTTTTGATTACTGAATATATGATGGTGCAGAAGCAAAATACATTTTTGATTGATTTTAAGTTGTGCATGCTAATTTGCACTGGACGAAAGGTCAGTCATTATTCATCATGTTACTTCCTGCATAGTTGTTGTGCTGTAATTCTATTTTCAGAGAAAAAAAACATGCATCTGTTTCAGTAATCTCTTACTTCTATATGAACTGAAACACTGGCCAGTGACAGGTCAGACTGTGGCCTGTTGCTGCATTCTTCAGGAATATTGCGCAAGTGTGCTAATGAATAAAAGAGAGAGAGGTCAGTGGGTTTGAACTAAAGGCTGTGAAGTTGTAGAATGCATCTGAATGGACATAATACTGGATAAAAACTCATACAATAAGCTTTTTTTACCTTAATGCAATATTCCAGAACAGGGCTGATGTGGCTGTGAGTTTTCATTCCATGCTAAAGCACACTTGACTCTACTTGTTTAATCAAGGGGATCTCAGTCTTCAAATAGCTGATCAGATGTGTTCCTGCTTTGTTGGAACAAAAGCCTGTAGCCACACTGGCCCTTTATGGATAAGACTGGCCACCCCTGTCCTAGAATAGATGATTTTGGCTGTTGTCTCCCTCCGCAGACGGATGTGTCAAGCATGTGCTGCTGAAGGATCAAGACTTTAAGTGAACTTGCTGGACTTTAGGTGGAACTGCTGAGTAATCAAGCTTGTGATATCTGTTTCACCTTCTTCGACACAGCTTGTGCAGGCGGATTCACAGACTTTGACATCCCCCTTAACCTAAGGGTCTCGTCAAATTTTACATTTTACAACTTTTAATTAATTTTTTTTTTGGTAATTTGTCACATCAAAAATTAATGTAGATTCAGTGTGGGGTAGGGGTGTGAGGTCAAAGATCACTGGTGACCTGAGGTATGGATTTAAGGGATAAGGGCTCAAATTTCAGTAAAGATTTTGTCTAACTGGATTGTGATGTTGCTCCAGCTTATTTATGCCTAGATAATTTCATGGTCCATTTCAAAACAGTATTGCTGTGCATCTGTTTTATTCTCTCTTAATTCACAATCTCTCTCTCTCTCTCTCTCTCTCTCTCTCTCTCTCTCTCTCTCTGTCTATTACAGTTGGATTTGATCACTGATCTGTTGGGGACGCCGTCTCTGGAGGCTATGAGGACAGCATGTGAGGGGGCAAGAGCTCACATCCTTAGAGGACCCCATAAACAGGTGAGTTTGAGCTCATCAGAGATGTCCCCTGCTCCTGTACCCACTAGTTCCCTGTTGTCACGCTGTTGTTGGATGAAAACCTTGTATCTCCATTTTTGACGTTTTTCAGTTTTGACATAATTTGAAAATACCTGTTGCCCTTTATATTGTGTGTAAATTTCATGATCAGTAAACTAAACAAAATGACCCAAAATGACTTGGAAAAAAGTCTGGTTCCATTGACTTACATTAAAAAGTAAAGTAGGTTTTTTTCTTCTCCTGTAAAGTTATCATTTTGGGGATACAAGGTTTTGTTATGACAACAGCGATATGTGAACTTATTTTCACATGGAAATTTTGCAAAATGTGCCACTTGTCTAGGGCTATTGAAACATTTCCATATGACTGTAGTGGGAAAGATAGCTATTGTTGCCCCTCTCTGCCTTCAAAGAAAGTTTAACGTTCAACATTTGTGACAGAGACAAGTCTATTCTTGCCTGATTGGCTTAGTGCAGTGCGTCATCCAGGTTAATTTGTGTGAAGTAGAAATCTGTTGAACCTTTTTGCTGCACAATGAGACAGATTTTGCTGTGCCACACATGGCATGCACTGCGTGGGTCCAACAAGCTCTGCATTGAAATGAACATAAACTGTTAAGACTAAGGAATCAAAGAGTTGAGATCCATTTAGGGTGAATCAGAGACATGATGGAGAGCACCAGAGAGGCCGAGGCCAGGACAGGGAAACCACTGTGGTCCCTGTGTCTTTAAAACTGTACTAGCATCTACTGCAGACTAGTTAATGCTTTGGGTTGTGTCCTAGAAAATTGCTTATACTGATATCTTCAGTCTCAGGAAGTATTATAAAGCAGTCTCATGGTTGGCCTGTTTTTGGCTGGTAATTGGCTGCTCCTGCTGAGTGACAGCACCTATTGGCCACTCACGTGGCTTTTCCGTGGCTCTGGGGGCCCTGCTGCTTTCCTGCGAAAAGCTCCAGCTGCTCTCTCTGCTGGGTTTCCTGGAGCTGAGCTCACTCCTGCTCTCTCTCTCTCTCTCCAAATCCTGCCCTCTGCCATGCTGCATCTACTGGCTGACTGATTGGCCTGCTGACGTGAGCAGGAGAGGGTCATTATGGCTGTAACAAATGTATTCTTACAGTTCTTTTTACTTCCCTGCAGTAGCCCTAGCAAGCAGAAGTGCTGAGAGATTGACACCGCATTCCTTTTACTGTACTGTTTTTTGTTTGAAAGGAAGATTAGAATTTCTGGTTTCTGTAATATGTTTGGGCTATGCGTTGATTTTTGGTCATCATTGTTTTGATGGTGTAGGATACATTGCAGGTTGTGTATGTTTCTATACATTAAAGGTGTAAACATCTGACCCTACCATGATTCAGTTTAATTAGACTCTGATTCAATTATATTACGATTTATTAACAATTTACTTGATCCCTTGCGTCATACCACTGACATTACCGCATCATGGCAGATGTCATACACTGACACGAGTTTATTTTGTTCCGTAATATAACTGTGTTGTGTTACTCTTACCTGTAATTCCTATGACATGTGCCATAGTGTTTGATATAGCTAAATTTTGCTGTTTACTGTAGCTAGCATTAATGACAGTGTCATGTTACCATTAATTAACTTTAATGGTGGCATCACACTGTTATATTACTGGGCATAATATGCCATGTAACTCATGACAGCGTATAACATCTGCCATGGCACATTTATGGCAGTATTAGCTATGATTCTGTAGGGAAAGATGAAATGAATCAAATTTCACCACAGTATAATTTGATTTGCTTATTTTGGTACAACTCAGAAATATTTGTTCAATTACAGTACATACACAAATATGACTGAAGCTGTTTTCACAGTAGTGGAATATAGACATTATTGATATTGTTGAATATTATTGCAGCTGATTGTAATGTTATCTTGTATCCCCAAAATAGGAAAAACATGCTGAATTTTCATTGTAAGTGAATGTAAAGAGATTGTCTTTGAAGTAATTTGAGGTCATTTTGGACCATTTCTATTAGTCCATTCATCATGAAATGTTCACACAATGTAAAAACACTGCTGCAAATTATGTAGATTTTTTTTTATATAGGTGAGATGTTTTAAAAGGACAATGATGATATGTAAGTACCTATGGGTAATAAGAAATAAGCCTAACCCTTCAGAAGCTTCCTTTCTGTTTCGAACAAATGAAGCAATTGTAAAATCACATGGAACATCGCTTATAAGAAGCACTTTACAAAGTCATTGTTGGTCTTTTTCACTCAATGTGAAGGGCAGCTTGTAATTTGAAATGGTCAAAAAATGAAAAACAAAATATAATTGGTTATAATGTGACATCATAATGCCATTCAGTTGCCACTTTTAGATCACTCTGAAGCATTTCTTTACCGCTGCTGTGCGTGTGTACGTGTGTTTGGAGCTGGGTGTTGGCTCTGCGGTCCTGAGCAGCCGCACTGAGAAAGCGATACCCCGTGGAGAACAGGAACTGCAGCGCAAGCGCTGTGGCCGTCCGCTTCCTGCCTTGCATCGACCCGCCGCCTGGACGCTCGCCTAGCAGCAAACCTCCTCAGCACATAAACACATACACTTGTACATTATCTTACTCACCTGCTAAACCTGCTGTTTACCATGCCAGCAAATACCCTTTGACTCCACCCTTCCTCTCTTACCACCATATATCACACTGAGACACCATCACACTCTCTCACACACACACACACACACACACACACTCTGACATTTGGCTGACCTTGTCACTCTATGCTCTCCTCTGTTAGTGTGGCTGGCAGGCCCCAGAGCAGGATGTTTTAATCACATCTATCGACTGCTGCTCCATTTACAGGGGCTGCTGAGGAGGGCGGTGTTGGTGTGTTTGGGGAGGAGGGTGGAGGGGGTTTCTGGAGGAGGCGGAAAAGCAGAGGATGAAGCTAAAGCTGCACAAAGTTCACCCTTAAACAGTTGGACTAGTGAGAATTGTGGGTGCCATAGATGTGGGTACTGGCAATGTCATGGAAGAACTTCTAATCTGACTGCAAAATCAGATTTTTTTGATCTGATCAGGGACACGTCTTCTTATATAAAGAGATTCTCACTATAATTTTTAATTAAGTAAAAAAAATATATATATGAAAAGCTAACTATGACATAGCTGTTGACTTATACTTTAGGTATATTTTGTAGCACTCAGCTTCATGCTCATTGAAGTGTCTTCCTGGGTATCAAGAGCAAGTTTTGCCTAAATAATAATTTGCTTTTCTGTTCCAAGTTATTGGATAAAGTTAGGGGTGTCAGACAGTTAAATGAATTAATCACGATTAATTGCATTACTTTGTGTTGTTAATTGTGATGAATACCATTTGTCCTATTTGCTTAAATCTGACCATGAATTAAAAAATTCCTTTAAAAAAAGTGTTTTGTTATAGCTATTTGATTAGCCTAAATAAGCTTCATAGGAGGAGCTTTATTACTTTCAGTAACATTATTTACATCATCTAAACGCAGGATTCACCTGAAACTGAACGTGAAAATCAAGTGATTTCCATAGAGTGAACACCCGTTCCAATTTTCATCAGATGCATCCAGTTTATTTTCTTTTTAACATAAAAAACTAAAAAAAATGTAGCCTGTGCACTAAAATTTGCGGAAACAAAATTTAAGCTTGTTCCCTGTAGAGATGTTTTTACTTATTTTCACTTAGAAAATTCACAAACATACAATTTGACCAGGTATGTCCAAATTTTGCATATGACTGTACATCATGTATGTAGTCATTGGTTCCAACTCATCTCACTCTCTGTTTCATTCATGCTGCTCCTGGATTTTTGTTAGTGTGGAGTTTTTCACTGTGCTGTTGCTTTAGTTAATTGGCTGCTCATTAATTTATTTTTAGGGCTCCCAAAAGCACTGACCAGCATAGTGTTCCAAAGGTTTTGCTTTCAAAGCCATTTAAAAACTGTGTTTGAATGAGAGGGCTGCAATCACATCATTGCAACTGGGCTTCAGCCTGGAACATTACAGATGGCTTGAAAGGTCAAAATAGAAAAATGCGTAACAGTAACTCTGACAGCCCTGTTAAAAGCACAAATTGTGGCCTCAAGGTGGTTCAAAAACATGAAAGTTTGAGGCACTGATGAGTGCTGACATTGGAGCAAGGGAAAAAATATGTGGGCATTATTCCCAAAGTAGAGCTTTTATCAGTTTTGCAATTTTTGCAAGAATCTAAAGATCTAATAATTTAAAGCTATTGAAAAGTGACAAACAAATCATGATTATTCATTAAAGACACATTAAAAATTCCCCAGACTTTTAATGGACACCGTACTATACACGTCGCTTTTCTTTTTCAAAGCAACAAATTACATTGTTTCGGCCACATTTTTGTTAAAATATACAGTGAAATTAGAAAATACATCCTTCCTTGACCTTATCCCTCAAAGAGTGCCCATGTTAAAAACTTTCTCTTACTGGAACGAGCTTATTTTGGAATTGGTTCTGGTTATTTTTATTATGCAGTAGCTTTTCTAGCCTAGGAAAATTACATCAAAGGCAGATTCTTTATTCTGCTAGCATCAATTTAAGTGGAGCCTTTGTTATTTCTCAGAAACCTCCTGTGTAGGTTCCAGAAAAGCAATATAGAAAAGGGAACATGCTGACAGGTTTCGAGGAGAGGTGTCGTGTTCATTCTGCTTTGTATTGTATTGATAGTCCTCGTTATATAGGGGGAGATTGGCAGGCTGGTGGAGTTGGAGCGCAGAGGAACAGGATGGAGTTAAGGGTCTATCTCTGAGCCGGAGCTTTAATGAACGTTGAAAAAATGCTGCTTTCCCCTACACCCCTGCTTGTTCTCACCTTTTTCCCCCCTCTTAAGAAGCAGAGATTCCTATCAAGAGGCTTTTGAAGGAGAGGAGAGGGTATGGGATGGACTAGAGATGGCGTGAAAGCAGAGGGTCGCAAGAAGGGCTGAGGATTCAGAGAGGCCTCTACCTAGACC